TCATTTTGTCATAGGATCAGAGCAACAATTACAACAATGATATGACGTTCCAACAACTGATAGCACAGCACTTCTTTTTTACACCTGTCAAAATTTCAAGAGGATACTTGAGATTTCCATGCATACCAGACAAATTTCATTAATATTTAATTATTACTTATGAAAATTCAATTATTCCAGAATTAAATGTAAAAATTAGATTATCAGTAATAAAAAAAAGAAAGAATAGATATTGCTGTTGCCTTTGTACGTTTTTAGTTTATTTTCCAATATATTATTCTAAAAATGGTTTACAAGGGAGACATAAATTTAAACTAATAACCAAATATCAGATATTTCTTTTAATCCTTTCTTAGCTGAGCCTAAAACATTTTAGTACCTACTTATAAGTACACAATCACAGATTTAATTGGTCTATCTATATGTGTGAAATGTCTGCAAAAATGGATAAGCTCATTAGCATAATGTTATAGGTTGGTTTATATGTTTGTCTCAGAATCAGGTTATGTTGAGTATTATCAAAACTGGCTTAGCTAACAGAAATTGGTTTATCTTTTATTATAAAGAGACCAATGCATATAATGCCCCAGGAAACTTATACTTTAAACCAAAAAGAGACAACTGAAATTTCCAGAACACAGACTGAGGAAAGAAGGCTCAGAGAAGTTAACACTTACAGGACACAGGAATCCAAAGGTATATTGTTACAGTAAAAAATGCCTTTGAAAATCTAAATAAAGTATTAAAAGGCATAAGAAGCAAAGAAAAAGAGTGTTGAACTGCTGTGAAATGTTGTGGAATAAATACATTTTGGGACATATAATAAGGAAAAATTAACACACAAAGGATATAGTGAAAACAATGAAACTGTAATTGACGTATTTAACAAGTTACTGTGGAGACAAAAATGTATGATAAATGATCAGAAGTAGCTACTTTTTAATGTGACCCTTTTGAACATGGATGATTATGGCTCTCCACAAATTCCTATCCTTTGTAGTACTAGGCAGTTTTTGACTTCTTATTATACCTCCCACTCCCTACTCTGCCATCCATTTAAACAAACTCATTAGATGTGTTATTTGCTGTTATGCTCTGTCTATTTTGCCTTTACTACATCCTGTAAGGGTGAGATTCTCAGTCGCTTTTTCTCATTATGTCCCAGAAATTTGAACCGTCTCTTACTTCGCCTAAACAAAAGTCTCCTTTTCATTCTCATTTTCTGTCAGCAGTAATCTCAGCATCCTTTTGTAGAAACACCTCTCAGTTGCTTCAAGTTTCTTCATCATTGAGGAAATCATCTATCTTTCAATCCCATATTAGAGGATGATATTACATAACATTCGAACACTTTTATCTTTGTTGCAATAAAATTTTCCTGTTTTTAGAACAACAAAAGACAAGAAGGTATGGAAAGACATGACCAGCTGCACCATGAATGGACTTGGTACATAAAAGATCTCAGAAAGCAATTAATCATTAGAAAAACATGTAAGTTTGGTAAGAATTTTAATGACTATATTATATAAGAATCGTTTTTCTCAAGAAAGATCATCAAAATATCATTTATTAGCAGTAGAAATTTTCCAAGCATAGCTTAGATGTGGCGCATGGCCAAAAGTATGGGGCATCCAGTGAGGATCAAACTCACTTTTCAGTAGTAACTGATCTAGCAAGACAATCTTTCTAACCATTACCCCACACCGAGGTGCCCTCATTTATTTGCAGTATGATACATTGTGAAAAGACTAAATGAAGAATTTTTAAAAAGACTGAATATTTCTTCTTTTCACTTGAAAGGCAATTCATTTATTAATTCTCAGTCATGTATTATTAGCCTATCACCATTTCCTCTAATTCATTTTCAACAAAACTAAATGTAAAGCAATCAATGGGTCTTTTCTATTTTCAGCACCTCTTCATACCATCTGTTAAAAAAATAGAAGGATTTCTTTTCTTTTGAGAATTTTCAATACTTTTTCATAGAAGCTCTTACAAAATAGAAGGCTTTCCTTTCTTCAGAGACTTCTCAGCACCCCTTCATACCCTTTGTTAAGAAATAGAAGGCTTTTCTTTCTTCATAAAATTTTCAGCACTTCATACTATGTGTAAGGAAATAGAAAGGTTTCTTTTCTTCAGAAAATTTTCAGCCCCTCTTCATACCATGTGTTAGAAAATAAGTTTTCTTTTCTTTAGGTAATTTTCAGCACTTCTTCATAGAAGCTATTACAAAATAGAAGGCTTTTCTTTCTTCAGAGATTTCTCAGCACCCCTTCATACCCTCTATAGAAGGTTTTTCTTTCTTCAGAGAATTTCTAGCACCTCTTCATACCATCTATTAGAAAATAGCTTTCACTTCTTCACAGAATTTTCAGCACCTTTTCATACAAGTTTTTAAAAAATGAAAGACTTCTTTTTTCAGAGTATTTTCAGCACCGCTTCATTCAAGCTGTTAAAAAATAGAACACTTTCTTTTTTTCAGAGAATTGGCGGTGAGCAGAAAAAAATGTTGGCCAACATTCTAATATGTCCATGTCATTCCCAGTAGCTGAAGTTTCTGGGACACATAATAAGGAAGGAGGTCCTGGAGAATCTGATACTCATTGGTCAAATATAGGGAAAGAGAGACAAGGGAAAACAACACAAGACATAGCTCGTGGGCTGAAGCAAGTGGATGACAGAACGTGGTCTGGGGGATGTAGCAAAGTGAAGGAACTTGTTGTGAGCTGCAAGGAATAGAGGAAAGTGGAGAGCCATGATCACCTACATCCTGAAAGGACATGGCACATAAAAAGAAAGAAAATGTGAGGTACATAGAATGGTTTGACCAGAAGTTTGTGGTAACAGCAAAGCAACAACAGTTTACTTATTCTATTCACCATGCCCTTGGCTGTTAGCCCACAAACACATTCATAAAATCCTTCATAATAATCAAATATATAGAGAAAATGTCATCTGTATTAGATATTTTTTTTATTACTAGAGTTTTTAGAAGCATCTATGAATTCAGATTCACTTATCAATGATGCCCAGGTAGAAATATTAAACATTGCCCTTTTTTTCTTTTTTTGCAAAATTTCCCTTTACTAAAAAGTCAAATTTTTTCCTTCTATTTAAGAGATTTTTTTCACCTATTTAACAAATTTACTTTTTTTTTATGTTTAGCTTTATAAGATAATTTCTGACAAAAACTTTATCTCTTTTGGATTTCCAGTAATCTCGACAGTTTGGTTTGGGCAATATACAAATCAATATCTCTCCATTTATTTATTTCTAGCTAATACTTGACTTGAGCATTACTTAAGAAATCAATACCGCTTTTCATTCTTGGCCTGTTCAAGAAATATGCTGTTACCGACATGTATCTCTTAAAGAAATATCTCACACAGAAAAGAGAGGGGGAAAAGATGCCAACACTTTTAAATCATGAGAGAGAATGATTTGCAAAATACATAATATAATCAATTAATTTTATCACCTAATATAGTTGAGGGTATTATAATGGTTTTGAGTAATGAAAGTGGAGTCAGCATGACAAGTTCATATTCCAAGTGAGGCTGTTGTGTTCATTTTGTACTGATGCCCTTCAGGAAAGGCATGAATGCGTCTCTTCCCTTGCCAGTAAAAGGTTAAATAACAGGAAAACTGGTCTCTCCAGTCTTGGATGTCAGCCAGTCTGTGAGAAGGAAAATCGAATTCAAACACATTGCATGTACTGGAATTGATTGTGGAATGGTGACCCTTAGACTACAGGCTATTAACTTCTCATGATAGATGAGTCTTCATTATGAGATATGCCAATGCATATAACTAAAAACTGGCTGTGTTGGTATCTTTTATTAATAAACAGAAAATAACTTGCAAATGATTTATAAGCCTTAAAAAAAAATCAAATCAATCTTGTTTCAATTAGTGGCTTGAAGAATCAACCAATTCACTGTTTTTTCTCATGGAAGCAACACATACTTTCTTGCTTTAATTATTGGAACATTCACTATTGTCCATTTACTTGCTTGTATAGCCAGTGCCTCACCATGTTGTGTTCAAAGTATTTGTTGATGAAAAGATTACAGTCATCTTGGAATATATCTGTATATGACAACTTACTGATTTATAAAGCATTTTGGAATTTTGGAATTCTATAATAAAATTTAGTATATACTGACAATATTTTCTTAAAGTAAATAGCTTGCTACAAAGCACCAATGATAAAAGTTAACATTATCTTATGATGTATTAAGAATGAACAAATTGAATTACTTTACTACCACCATATTGTTACTTTGCTTTTGATATGCATTATATAGACATTGTTTCGTCTTGTATTATTTTGCCCTGTTCTTTAACAACTTAAGATAACACAGTGTTGATAGTAAAGATGAAAAAGAAACTACAATAACTCCAAGAGGAAAACAGTGAAGGAAAGTGGGAAGAAAGTATTAAACATCAATTAGAAGAAAACAGACTATATGCTTGTCAGCAAAAGGAAGAAATTGGAGATATCAAACAAGTACAAGAATTTATATATCTGGGAAGTGTTTTAACAGAGGAAAGAAAGTGCAACACTAAAATCTGAAAGCACTTTGGAAATAAAAAAAATGCCTTCTAAAAGCTAAGCAAATTATTAAGAAGTAGGAAATTTTTATTAGAAACAAAGAAATGAGTACTGAACTGTTATGTAATATCGGTACACCTATATGGCAGTGAATGCCAGACAAACTCCTCACAGGTGAAGAAGATTGATTGATTCAATTTTTTATGGCTCATCTACCCTTTGCAAGTTATTTAAAACCAGAATTTTATTTTTTGGGGAGATAATAACGGTTTAGTGATACAAGTCTTACTAATTAATCCATAGCTGGGGGGAGAAGAGGTGGATTCATAGCTTTCTCAAAGGTATTTTCACATAAATGGATATAATGAAGCCAACAGGAATTGAAAATTGGCTCTCTGATTAACATTTATGAGCCATTATTCATTACACCACCAGCACATCCCAGCTTACAGCACCTGGTATTCCCAAGCAGTCACCCATCTAGTTACTAACAAGGCTCAATGTTGCTTAACTTCAATAATCATACAGGAAGGAGTGGTTGAATGTGTCCATAAGCCCAGATAAGGAAGAATAAAAAGCAAAAGTACATTTTGGAAAGGAAGTGCCAGTGGATTTATCAAAAAATTATGAAATCTTAAAAAAGTAAATGAATGTTGATTTTGTTTTAATAGGTATCTTGCTGAAAGATGTAATCTTGTCAAGAGAAGATAACTTTCTTGTAGATATGGCAATACTGCCTTTTATACAGTACCTAATATATCACTACACTTCCTTGAGCCTAAGAAAATTTAAACCTTTAGTTGATTTTTGACTTCTATGCACTACTCTGGGAGACTATCTACCTCTCAGAGTGAGTCTCTTTTTTTTTTTTTTATAGGAGATCAAGGTCTTAAGTGATTCTCCTCATTTGAATCATCATGATACCCATGGTCACTCTCATCCACAGATTGTTCATCATTGCTACTGGATACACTCATTATCTCTTCCCTTTCCTATTCTTCACTTTCATATCTCTGGTGGTCTTCCTGATCACTCTCAATACTAGAGTCATTCATACTTTCTTGCATTGTCTGTTCCTCTGCATCCTCTTCCTCTTCCATAACTTCATGCTTTTTTGTGCTTCTAAATTGCTTTTCATGAGCCAATATGTCCTGTCTCTTCTTTGTTAATGCAGTTGTGTTAAACCCCTTTTTTCAGGACTTGACTCCTTGTCCTTTCTTTACAACACACTTTCATTTGTTGCAAATGACATGCCAATCAGAGCTGTTATTTGTCTTCCTATCAATGCAGATGAGCTTTATCTTCTGCCTGTATGCTGTATAACTTAGGAGTAGTTTGGGTAAATAACTCTTTCTATCGCAATCCACTGGAGAGAATTCTTTTAATCCCATTTTTTTACCATTTGAACCATTCTTTCTGCAATTCTATTTGACTGTGAGTGGTAAGGTGGTGTTTTGTATGAAATGCTGCCAATACATCTTCACCATGCACAAGAACTTTCTTCACAAAACTCAGGTGAATTGTTGGAGACCAAGGTTTATGGAATTCCATTTCTCGAAAACGCTATCCTCAACATCTGCTTCACGGTAGTGGCTTTTCTATCCATGACTTTAATAACTTCAGGCTATCTTGAATACAAGTTGACTAATATTAGAAATAGTGCTATACTTTTAATGCAGGCATGATCCGTATGTATTCATGTCCATGGCTCCATTTCTTTTGGCCAAGAGTAAATTTTACTCTGTCTAAATTTCTTTATTTCTGCACACTTTGGACATTTTTAAATATACTCTTCCATGTCTCTGAAATAGCCTGGCCACCATGCTTGCAACATTAACCTTATTTGCATAGCCAATATACCTCTATGTATATCTTCATGCATGACTTTAATTACTTCTTTTCTCAGAGATTGTGGAGGTACTATGATATCTCCATTACATATAATTCCTTTTTCTATTGTTTATTTCTGTTTTAACTCTTTATACAGTCTTTCAACCTTAGAACAGTCACTCCATGTATTTCTCTTGATTCTATCCATAATTCTAGTCAATTGGAGCTTGCCTAGTTCCCAAGCCGATTTAAGGATAATATGTTAATTTCTATCCAGTGCAAAATCCTATCCTCACAATTTTCACTTGCTCCAACATTTTTACTCTCAAAATTCAATGGAGACAATGCATCTATATTTGGAATAGTATTTCCTTTAATATATACGATGTCAAAGTCAAACACCGTAAGCTTAATCACCCATCTTAATATCCTGGCAGATGTGACCTTTGGCAACTCTCTTCTGTGGTTGAATATAAATTCCCAAGGCTTATGATAAGATTTTAATAGAAATTTCCTTCCCGGCCAAAAGTTTCTACCTCTTTCTGTGCTCTATGAAATCGCCAATGCCTCCTTCTCAATATTCAAATAATTTGACTCTGCCGATGTTAGTTTTCTATTTAAGTACATTACAGGGTGATCCTCCCGCAACAATATTGCAACTATAGCACAGTTAGTGACATCTGATGTTAACATCAATTCTTTAGTTGGGCTCAAGATTTCAACAACTGATTTATTTATGAGTGCCTTTTGTAATTTCTCAAAAGTGATCTCTTGTTTTTTGTCCTTTGAAACTTGGTATTCTTCTTCCTTATTTAATTAAATGGCTCAACAAGGTCACTATATCACAGTTGATATCTGTTATAGAAATTGGTTAGTTCTAAAAAAAGACTAACACATTTTTTTTATTTCTGGGTGCTGCTATCTCTGATATCTTATTATGGAGTTTATCATCCGGCAACATACTGTCTTTGGATATTTGATATTGTGCATACAATTTTTTTCTTAATTCATCTTGCATGTATCACGATTGTCATACCCACACTATTTAATTTTCTCAAAACTTGCTTCATTTCACTTTTGAGCTCTTCTTTACATGCCACTCCCAATGTCATCCTGATATACAATTATATATTTAATCTCGCAAAAAATTTTATCAATGGCAGACGAGTTCATTTTAGTAATCCAATAGTGGTGGTCATTGTTGTGACTTCTTGAAACTTACTATCAATTTTTATTTGATTATATGCTGACAAGGTGAATTTTTGCAAAGTATTTCATACTGTGGAATCTTCCATATCAGCCAGTCACCCCTGCATGGGTAAATTAAACTATTCTCTGTAGGTGAATATATGACAAGCATTCATTGGTTAATCTACTTCAAACTAGCTCGCTGATTGGTCAGTTCCGACCAATCAAACCGCTTGCATGCGACAAATCTGTTTTACCACGTTCTTCATCTGAGCCAGTCATGTGATACCCGATCATATAAAAACAAAACATGTGTAAACTCTCTCTCTCTCTCACATCTCATTCCTTACTGCCAAGATGTAATCTTCAAGAACTTCCGTCTTAACCTTTGCGGTCAGACATAAAAGAACTTTACAACAATTCACGCAAGTACGAAGTCTAAAATCTCTTCTGAACTCTTACCAAGGTTTACAACTCACAATTCCTAACATGCTAAAGAAACTTTATTCTTCTAAACTACAGTTTAATACTCACTTCTTCTTTATGAGCTCAGATACAAATATTACCAAATCTAAGAGACACAACTCTGTCTAACCTTTCAGTTCACATGCATGTATATCAAATACTTAATAAATTCCATTGTTACATTTTGAAACAATACATCATGATTTGTTTCTAATATTTTTCTTTAATTTGTTGTGGATGAATGTTTTTAGTACACCAACACTAAAAATCCTTCTGATCACTCAAAATACATTCACCAGTCTGCAACAATACCAGCAAACTCATGGCACACTGTTTCAATGTTTGGCAACAGGAATGAATCTGAACATATCTGGTGATTCATGCCCACATTATAATGACCACAAATTCTTAAATCTCCATTGGGCTTGTGTATCATCACAATGGGTGAATCCTAATTGCTACCACTCTGGCTGACTTTTTCTGATATTCCTTGTTCCACCATTTTGATCAGCTTAGCAACCGCCAAGGGTAGCATGTGAACAGGAATTTTTGAGGCTTGAAAATACATGGGTTGACTGCCATCTTTAAGCTGAATACTCACCTCTTAATAATGCAATATCTGGTTCTACCTACTTCATGGAATTTACCAGATTCAATGAATCATCTCTTAATATGTCAATTCCTAAAAGATGGTCACTTTTGAGGTTTTCCACCACTACCATAAGTATTATCTCAAATTTCTTTTTTGTCTCAAACATGCCTTCAAAGCATCCTAAAATTTTTATGATTGACCCATCAAACTGTTTCAACTAGAGATTACTTTTCTTTAGCTTTGGTCAGCCCATTCTTTCCCCCAAATTCCTCAGTATCAACATAACATCACTTCCAGTATCCACCTGAATGAGTAAAGTTGCTCCGTTCAAATTCACCATTTCCTTGCTTTTAACCTGTGGTTTTATCCCAAATACTTTTGTACTTTCAATCAGAAAATCTATATTTTCCTCTTTTTCCACTTGCTTTCCTTATGTGTATACAGTCTGAAAATGATTCCTCTTTTTACTCTTAAAACACCATTTCCCAAAGGCCAGACACTTATTCTTGCTCTTTTCACATTCCTTATTGCAATAACTACATACAAGTAGGCTTTTAGTAGTACTGTAAGTCTTCATGCTGCCTTCAGAGGGTTTAAATTTTTTAATCATTTCCAATTGTTGTAAAAACTCCATACATGCTTCTGTTATATTCCGTATTTAGTTACGTGGGCGATGTGAAAACAATGTGGGCAAAATACTGCGTTTGGTTGCAAACAATGAAATTCAGAATCGAAAGAACAAGAAAGACTGTAGATATATTTTATAGTCTCTTTTAGTGAGGAAAATAAGAACAAGTAAAAAGTTCGTATTTAAGAAGTTGAGGGAAAGGTACCCTTTGACAAGGTGTCGGACGAGAGTTCATTAGCAGCAGCGGTCACATGCTTCGTTTCGTCGCCGGGCCAGTGTGTCAGGAGCAAGTGACGTGACCCTTCTGCCTCCGCCGTTGAATGGCACTCCTTTTGACTTTCCCGTGTTGAACTTATACACGCCTATCGGCTCCAAATGGCAATTTTTTGAATACGCGGGAGACGGTCCGATTGGTTGATTTAATTCTTTTCATTTTTTTTTTTTCGAGTTTATACCAAACGGAAGTATCTCGTCGAGCCTATCGTGAGCGTGTAGTTTTCATTTCGAGTTGGGGACTCATGATGGTAAATTCCGTTTATCGAAGCAGGGCAAGATCTCATCTTGTAACACTTCCAAATTCATATCATTAGCTTGAAGTTGCTCTAGAATTTTACACATCTATGAATTTTACACATCTTCAGTCAGTCTTAGCACAATTAGCACATCTTTGATTTGTACCAAACCCATTCCTTCAAACTCAGCACTTCTTTCAACCACTGTACATATTGCATAATCGTTTTTTTCTAGTCTCTGTTTACTTTTGAGAAATTTAGTTCTTTCTGCTATGACCAGTCTTTTTTCGGTCATACATTTTGCTTTTATGACAACAGAAATTTCTTCATGCACTAA